AGTTTGAATCTAACCCCTTTCAGGAAAAAAGGTTTGCAAATACTGCTGGGAGAGCAATGGGAAACAGCCCAGGGCTATAGAGAAAATTCAGAAACAAAGAAACACATTGGTGTCTTGAACTGCCTTGGCTCCGCATGCGGTTTGTCTTGTACAGACACCCGTACAGCACGTTGGTTCTGCAGTGCTGCATGACACCCTTTTGGTGTACAACAGATTTAAAAAAAGACAGGATGACACAATACCCCAAAGCAAATGTGTTGTTCCGGAAGCTGCTTAGAATGGTTATAGGACATGCAGACTTTGAGCCATCTGAGAGCACTTACACAGCCTTGGTGGAAACATTCACTGAGTCTGTCTGGGATGCTGTGATGTGGGGTTGATTATGCAGTATATGAAAGGAAAGGAGAAATTAATAAATGGGCATCCTGGGACAGAAGGGCCCTGGTGAGCGGCCTCCTCCTCCGCCCTCCTCTCCTCCCTTTTCACACCAGAGAAAGGCAGCACCACAGCTGTGAAGGGAGAACTCCCTTAGCATTGATATAGAGCAGAAAGAAGGGAGATCTCCATGCTCAGATTGCTGCAGCTCGCAGCTACGCAGACAGATGGAACAGGAGGAGATTAAAGGCTTTGCTCAAACTGTTGCTTGAGGGCAGACAGTAACGTCTTGCTTGGTGGAGCTGGGGCTCTCTGCAGTCCAGGCTGGGTCGCGGTCTGAGTGTTTGAAGCAGGGAAAAGGGCAGGTTCTGCACTTCCAGGAGGCGGTGGGTGGGATTCTGTAACAAACCTGGAAGTCTGGTAACTTGGGATCTGTTTGTGTGGTGGTGACAAGTGGTATTAGGGTATTTCAGATTCCTGTTTCAGTTCCTGTACCAGCTTACAGCTCACCTTAACCTGTAGGGTTGAAGCATCCTTAAAGATTTCCCTTTGCTTGGAGAACAAGAGGGGTTCAGCGTGGAAGGACACCAGACCCACCTGTGTACCTGTTTCCTACAATTACCCCTTATTGTTTTGTGCTTTTTTTGCACTTGACTGGAAATTAGTAGGAAAGGATTTTCTGAAGCCAAATCCCTCATTTACTCATCACATTCTGCTCCTGCAGGATCACCGCAGGCAGCACCACTTGCTATTTTTGAACCAGATACAGTGCCTTTGATAAACAGCCTTTGACATCCTTTCTGTTCTGCTCAGATTTCTGAATGCTGAAGGGAAAAGTGCCCTATGTTATCATAGGTACACCAGATGGCATTGGGATTAGATCTCGGGGTGTTTAATGGAGCACTCGGCTTCAGTGTCATTTGTGTGGATCCTTCAGCTCCTCTTAGATAAAAGAAAAACTGAGCAAAGGTCCATCCAAAACGTGACACATGAAACTGTGTTTCTGTTCTGCAGCCTGCAATGGGAGTATGTGGGTACCCAACACACTAATGCATGTTTTTTCAATGAATGGGACTGAATATCCCTTAATAAAGGGAAATTTGCCATTTGATTTTTGGCTTGCTGGCACTGGGAATGGATTTGGTGTGATGTATCATGCCTGCAGTTCTAATGCAAATTCAGAATTTATTTATTTTGGGGTATGGCAGTGGTACTTAACATCAAATTTGAACACTGCAGGTGTCATTTTCAGTATTTTATTAACTCTATATCCCAGTTCCTGATTTCTAGTCTGCAATAATAAGCAACTTGCTTTAATGCTTATTTTATTTTCACAGTTTCTGTTGTCTCTAGGAAGTTATGAGATGAAATCTTTGGAGGGAGGTATTATTTATGGTATAGTAGTTTCTTGAACCTTAATTTCTGATCTGATTTTTCAGAAGCAGGCACTAAAGCTTTACCACATAACGTGGTCTGAACTAATAGTTTGTGGGTGGGTTTTTTAGGATTCTATTTTATTTTAGGATAAGCTGAAGTTTTTATGATTGTTGGAACTCTTGGCAGATAGCACAGACTAAGGAAAATTAAGCCCACGATGTTCCATTTGTCTCATCATTGTAGAGACAGCAGTTTCCTGCACTGGGCTGTCTCTGACTGCTGAGCTGTGACACAGCTGCCACTCTCAATATTAGGGGTGGTTCATAGCAGTCGGTGGATCTCCCACTCTCTGTATTAGGGATAGTTCATAGCAGTCGGTGGATCTCCCACTTTAATCCCTGAGCAGAAGTGGTCCTTTCTGCTCTGACACCTCCTGTACAGCAATGCCTTTCCCAACACACGGCTGCTGTGCTACGGAGCACGTCCAGTTCTGGCTATTTAGATTCTAAAGACAGGATATTTTAGACCATTTTAATATCTGTACAAAAATGCTGCTTATCTTAAACCTCAGGGAAAATTGCTCCTGTACTGCAGAGCAGCTAGCCCATTATAAACAGTGCTTCTGATTAACTAGATAAGGCAGAGCCAACCAGGTTCCCAGGTGGTATTTTGGGACCTGGAGAGATATAATAAAGCTTGCAAGATGAACGCATTTTGCAGTCAGTGGAAGTTTCAGCCATGCCTGCAGTTCATTTGAACTCTGCTGAGTACCCATTAAGTATGGAAAATGTGAAATTCACAGACAGGCTTCACTTAAAAAAAACAACCAAAACCAAACCAACAAACAGAAACCAAACAGTTTGTGGGTTTGTTTGTTTTTTCCCTCCTTTATATGGGAAGAAAGGAAGTTAACTTGTCTGAGCTGGCAGTCCATTCTTATCTTTGAATCACTTTGCTTGAGCTTGTTTTATGTATGTCCCCCATACCCTTATAATGAAAGGAAAACAAGTCTTGATGGAGTGTGTGTGGCAATGCAGCGTTCACACCGCAACGTTCATACTGCAGTGACGCTGTTCACACCGAGCAGCATCCCGTGCTCATCCCTCTGCTCCCTCTGTAGGCTGTGGTCTGTGCTTCCCATGGCTGCTCAGTGGGAAAATGAACAGTTTGTCACAGGGCATCTGGTCCGGAGCAAGCAGACCCGGCTCCTTTCACCACCAGCAAGATACGATTATTCACAGAGTGATTCCTTGGAGGTTAACAAGGATGGCTGTAGAAAGCAAGACTCTAATTCGAGGGTTTTTGATTGAGCCTTAATGGTATCTCATGCACTGGTCAGTAGCATCCAGTAAATGGCAGGCACTTCTGACCCTCCCTCCCCTTTCTTGTTTGGTAATTTCAGCCACAGAACAGCAGTGAGACCAGACAGGCAGTGAATTTCCTGGGTGATAATTGTATTTCTTTGTGGCTCAGATCCTCACCCTGCAGCGCACGAGCCATGCCGCTGTCTCTGTTCTGCAGTCTTCTGGCTCCTGGGCGCTAACTTAACTTCCAGGTTAGGAAAGGCAAGGTATTATGCTGGTGTAATGACCCTGGGTTTAACCACTGAGGGAGTGAGGAGTGGATACGTCTGATTTGAGGTGTTGGCCTGCTGCCACATTAACACTGCGCCTTTTCACTTCAATGCGCTTTGAAATCACACAGAATCACAGAATCACAGAACATTAGGGATTGGAAGGGACCTCAAAAGCTCATCCAGTCCAATCCCCCTGCCGGAGCAGGAACACCCAGATGAGGTTGCACAGGAAGGCGTCCAGGCGGGTTTTGAATGTCTCCAGAGAAGGAGACTCCACAACCTCTCTGGGCAGCCTGGTCCAGGGCTCTGTCACCCTCACTGAGAAGAAGTTTCTTCTCAAAAATCGCCCTCAATGGACTGTCCCTCAACTGTCCAGAAAGTAGCAGTAATTAAGGGGATTGCTAATTAATTTTTGCAACTTACAAATGAGGACTCCATCACTATCATAGTTATCTTGGTGCAATGTGGTAGTGAGATGACAGAGCCCCTTTTCCCTCTAAGCAAGCGTCTTAAAATTACCCTTAAGGCTTTACTAGAGCAGAGATTGAAGTAAATCATAGTAGAGAAAAACCAGATTAGGAGGTGGCAGATAAGAGGTTTAAAATGAACCTTCCTTGATCTCCAGGCCCACTGCCATCCTGCAGTTCTTCAGCAGCTCCTTGGGTTGCAAGATGCTTTTCAAGGCCCCCAGCAAAGGCTTTTTCTTTCCTCCTGTGCCTCGATGTGGGGTCAACTGGTCCTGGTCGACAAGAGCCCTCTGCAGACATTCTCCGTGTCCTTAGATATTTTCCCTTGGTCCATTATTCATGTAATAAGAATGTTTTCTGGCACCCTGACATGACAAGAGACCAATTTTTTCACCTCACTTTCTACATACGGATTTTTTTTTTCCTTGAGGGCCACTTTATTGTGAATGACTTGAGGCAAGTGAAATCACCACTTAAAACAGAAGAAAGGTTAAGAGAAAAAATTACACTCCTGCAAAAAGGAACATGAATAATTGTACCTGCTCAAGTTTTTTTATTACAAAACCCTCTAAAATAATAAATGGCTCTCACCTGAAGCCACTAATTACAGCCAGTAGCATTTACCACATCACTAAATTACAGAACAGTTAAGCCTCATACAAAACTGAAATATCAGATTGTGATTCTTTATTAGGAAGGCCTGAAGCATGTGTTACCATATTTGATGTTATTTTCCTTTTTTTTTTCTCTATTATTTTTGGATACTGGTTGCATGGTTAGATTTTTTCAGTAACATCTATTTACAAAAACTAATTAGACTTGTTGCTATCAATAGCCTCTAACAGAGCTCTTAAGAACAAACTGCACAGCAAATTGACATCATGTCCTTGTTAAATCAGCTCCTGCTGAGTGGGTATGATTTACATATTGATTACTTCACTGTCTTGATTGCCCTTTTGCAGTGGAACAGTGGGGAGCAGAGGTGTGAAACGAGGGGATGTTGTGTCCTGGAGAGATGCTGTGCTGGTAGATCAAGTCCCAAGCCTTGCCCTTGGGCAGGGTGTGCAGGCCTGGGCACGTCCCAGCACCAGCGGGCACAGGACCCTCCCCAGCACTCGGCAGCGAGGAGGCAGCTGCGGTTGGCTCTGTCCGTTGCTGGGTCCCTAGGGTTGCAGTTAAGGCCTCCCCTTTCCTCTCCTCCCCAGCTCGTCCGCTACAGCTCCGAGGGCGTCCTGCAGCTGGGGCCGCTGGGCTCCACCGCCTTCCTGCCCGACTCCAAATGCCTCGTGGACGACGGGAAGGGCAGGACGCCCACGCTGAAGAAGTGCGAGGACGTCCTGAGGCCAGCACAGAGGTTCTGGGACTTCACACAGGTACGGGAGGGCTCAGGGGGCCTTGCAGAGATGGGTTGTGAGAGCAACGCTGCTCTAGGGGTATTAATGGAAATAAGGAGGGCTGTAGAGGGCTATTCCGTGTGCTATCGAGGAATTGTCTTACGTTACTACTAGGAATTTTTGGATATGCTTTCTAGGAATTTTTATTTATGTTTTCTCAATGTCCTCCTTAATGCTTTCTTGGCATATTTTCAATTTCTGAAGTGACTGTGAAGAACACCCTTGTAATTTTTTTTTTTTCTAGTGTCTAGGAATTTTTGTTTCTAGAACTTTTCTAGCGCCTTTCTAAAAATACTTGGATACAGAGTTTTCAATTAATTTTTAGCACTTTCAGAGATATTCTTACAGTTTCTGGGATTTTTTTATGTCTTGAGTTCTGCAGGGATTTTCTAGTGCTTTTTAGAGACTTCTCTAGTGATTTCTGGAGAGCTTTCTAGCGATTTCTAAATCTAGAAATATCGAGGAATAGTTTTGGCACGTTGTGTGGATTATCCAGCTTCTCCTAGGAATTTCTAGCACTTTCTAGGGTCTTTTATCACTTGATACATACATAACTTTCCAGGGATTTTACACTGCTTTATAGGCATTTACAGATCTACTTCTGTTTTTCTTCTTTTCACCTTTTCTGTTCCTTCTTCTAAATCTTCTCTTTTCTTTCTTTATTTTCCTCTCAGAATGGTCCAATCATCAGCAGGGACACTGGCCGTTGCCTAGAAGTGGAAATGTCGAAAGATGCAAATTTTGGGCTCAGATTAGTCGTACAAAGGTGCTCGGGGCAAAAGTGGATGATTAGAAACTGGATCAAGCACGGCCGGCACTGATTGCTGGGGCTGAGAGGCTGGCCCCCCCAAACACTGCTCACTGTGCCATATCTTGCAAGGCGTTCATCTAAAAGCAAAGTCACTGGAACCGGACCTGGCTCTCGAGAGCCTCCACAGCTGGGCATGCAAAGGCAAAAGAGAAGAATAAGAACACGAAAAGCAGATACATGCGTGCCCTATTTGACTCTTCCTCGCTCTGGTAGATGACCTGGGCAGCTTAACAAGAGTTTTCTGTTCATTTGGGAATCTGAAGATCAGAAGGTAACAGAAAAGTGGGTTCCACAAGCTCTCCCAGAGGAATTAATGGACGGATGTTTCCATGATGAGTTGAAAGGAGAGATCCCAATACTGCCTCATAAAGAGAGTTCTCTGATGGGTAGCTTTTTAGCTTTAAGTTATTGACTGGTGCACAACTCCTGTGGTGAATAATTATGTGCCTTTTTATTGTACTTCGTATAAAAGGGGACTGGAAAAATCCTACGTTTTCAGCATGTCTGGTTCATTGTACTAAACAAGATCTGTACATAACACTGGGAATATAATATATATATAATAATTTTCAAGGTTGATTGTTTAGGAGTCTCTGTTTCTGGAAAGAGACTGTTCTGCAAATGTTTACAGGTGGTTCTCAACCTTCAAGCTGCTAAAGAGCAGCACTTTAGAGACCTCTTCTAGTTAAACACAGGTAAATGTTGAATAGGTAAAATAGACACATGCTCCATTGTATTGCCACATTTTACATTTCTTGGCTGTAAAGGCATCACAGAATAGCACTTGCGTATCTGACTCTTTCGAGGCAGACGGGTGAAGTTCTGGAGGCCTCCGTTGACCCACAGGCCCCAGTACATGAGTGCAAGGCTCCCACCCTGCAGTGCTGGGTGCACCCGCGTCTTGTTCCAAAACTGCCTGGATGCTCATTCCTTCTGAAAATAAGCTGACTGTTAGGTGCCATCTGTGGAGTTTAGCATCTTCCATTTTGTTATCCCTCCTGTGAAAATGTCAAATGTGGGCAAATATGCTTTGTGAGCATTGTCTGGAGAAGTTTTCTGAATAAACAAAGTCTTTTCAGTATTTGAAAAACAAAAACCAGTGATAAGAGGACAAATCAGAGCAAGAAAGAACTAGACAGTGTACATGAGCACTGTTACTCTGAAATACAAGTGTTTTACTGTAGTTGACATGTTGACAGTGTATTTGTGAACCGGAGTTTAATGATGTACCTGTGCACAGGTATCCAGAGCCATGGCAAGGCTGCCAACATCAGTGACCACTGTCAACGTCAGCTTTGGATGTGGGTCCATGGCAGACAGCTCTTCATTTCGGAATATTCAGTCATGCTGAAGGAGAGACAGAGATGGTATCTGTTAACTTCACTGTTTACTATTTTATAGTCATTTAAAAAAAAAGAAAGTTTTGTTTTACTGAGCCAGGAAAATAGGCAATTGCAGACACTGCAGTACCATGGATCTTGGTGATCTGTTTCTTGAGGAGCTTTTGCCATTCCTATTTCAAGGCATGCCGAACAAAATAAAATGGAAACAAAGTTAATTTTTCAAGGGCACGTTACAAAATAAAATATTTACTTTTAACATGCAAAATACATCAGTTCTTGTCAACTCTTGGTTGGTATCCAGAGAGCATATCACTATATTTTGCCCCAGTTTTATTTTGAAACACTCTGCAAGCTGTAATACAAAGCCAATTCTCCTGGAGTTTACTTGTGGCTCATAGCTGATCTTTATTAATGTCACATGGATCAGGTTATGCATAAATATATACAAAAGAATAATTATGGTTGAGATTCTAAATATAAAAATGCTTAAAACTCTGTATTTATGGTTAATTGAACATGACCTCCTGAGCAAGACCTGCAGGGAGAGGTAGCGTCTTTAATAAAGCAAGCAATAGGGTAAGAAATCATGGGCAAGCTCAGCCTTCAAGCCTTCCTGCAGGTCTTAAACAGGTAGGAAGCTTCCGGCTAAATGTAGATTGGGAACAGTTGCCCTGCGTTTAACCTCCCTATGTTAGCCTGTTAGCCCGTTTAAATGGAGAGTTACCGTCTATGGAGCAGGTGGTGAATGCTCTGTACAGCAGTTCTAGTTGAAAGCCACTTTTCATCTTCTCTCCAGATACCATTTAAAAGGGAGAAATCGTACAAAAGCTGAGTTCTCCTGTTGTTTATTCTGATGGAGTTTTACTCCATTAAATATTTGGCTGAGGGAGGCAGGAAGGCAAAAGAAGGAGAAGACGGTTTTACCAGGTGAGCTGTTTGGGGAGTAATGTCACAGGTCATTCACACCATTTGTTGTCTTTCCAATTAATGAGCGCGAACTAATCTATATGAAGATGACTGGAAGTTAAGAGCAATTATATATATCAGTGTGATTACAAAAGTGCAACTATCAGAGTATGAAGTTACTGTACTCAAGCAAATATGCCACATTTTTGGTGGTTTTTTTGGCCTTTTTCTTTATTCCTTGTCTTGAATTGCCAATACACTTGATTCTTCGTTAGCAATGAGGCAGCAGGCCTTTCAAATCCCAGATAAATGAAAATGGAAGGCTGAATATTTGGAGGAATACCAGGTTTTAAATTTACTGTCCTAAAAGGAGAGTTGCATTTGCAGTTTAGGAGCTCAGAAGCTGAGAAGCCTGGATAGATCTGCGTTTACCGGCAGAGATGTCAGGACGGTCCTTCACCACCACACCACCGCAATGCCTGTGAGTTGGCCGTCCTCAGAATTTGGGTACTGCACACTTTGGGTGTCAGTGCAAAGCATTTGAGCGTGGCCACGCCATCCAACAGAGCGGTCAGTGCTGGGGACATCGGAATGCGGGGGCTGCAGGAGGCTTGTGAGAACCAGAGCGTCAGTATGGGCAGGAAGGCAGATCTTTGTGATAGGTAAATGGCTCTGAGGTTTACAGAATAATATAAAAGTATTCAAATAACTCTCAGAGGTGGAGTTGGTATTTTCTGTGATTGTCATTTTTTTAAGCTTTACTGAAATACTTCCTTATATTTGAACAACATCTGTTGGATTCTCTCTACTTTAGTCTTTGTCTGTCTGAGCCACTGCTTTGGCTGTGGCTCTCTCACTGCATGTGAGAGAGAGGGTCTTAAATATTCTCTCAAAAAGAATAATAATAAAAAAGCCTTGAGTATCCTCTCTTTTCACCAAGGTCTATGAGTCTCTTGTCAGTATTTCACCCCTTAGTATAATCTGAAGTCCTGCTTGATATAATTTCAATTTTAAGTCTTGTTTCCCACGGTGCAGGAGTCCAGTTATTATGAAAAGTATTTAATACAGTGCAATACACCTTGCAGAGAAAATTCAGATGAGAACAGAATCTTCAATTGCTGTTTTGTTTTATTTAGGATGTTATGGAGTTGAATACCAGGTCCTAGGACAGAGGAATTGCAGGTGGGAAGGACGATCAAGTCTAGCAGACTGTGTCAAAGGCAAACATAGCAAAAGTAGTTTTGTAAGCACGTCAGCATCCTTACTTTGAGTCCTGTGAGAAAAACATTCCTATCTCCTTTGGAAGCCAGAAACTGTTTTCCAATTTATTCTTGGCTTGATTAAAGCCATTTGCTCATCAGCCAGAATTGTCCTCTAGCTTTATTGGCTCACTGGTTCCTGAGGCATGCTAACCTCCAATTACATTACTGATCCTAAAGGTCTTAATTGGTCTTGGAGGTCTTTTCCAACCAAATGATTCTATGATTCCAGTAGAAAGCAACCAAGAGAAAGAAGAGCTAAACCAGGTGGTGTTGAATGGATTCCGCTGCAGTTACATGAAGATTGTCCTCATCCATGAGGGTGAGAACTCTTCAGGACAGTCCCATGCCCAAAAGCTAAACTCTGGTTCCATAGAAATGATCTAAAACAAAAATATGGAAACAAACAACAGTTCTTTGTACATACTCTGACACTGTTGAACTATCTGTCATTTCAATGAATAATTTCGGGCTTGGCATGTCTGAAGATAG